CGTGCGAGGTCTGAGGCAAACGTAGAGGACTGTGGCAAATGATACAAGTTTTACGTGTGTGGGGCTGGTTGGACCCCATTTCTAGACGAGGGTTAAAATGAGGGAATCAATATTTAAAATAAACATAAATAAATAAACATATTTAAGAGGGGGTGAAAAGTGGGGAAGGTTAGTAGGGAGAGATGGGAAGGTAGTAGCAGAGGGGAAGAGAGGAGGTAAGAAGGGAGGAGGGGTGCAACAAACAGCATGCTTGGATTCAAAATTGATTAGCAGTTTTTCCCAACACTGGTCCTCAAGTCAAACTGACCTGTATGTTTGCAATTCAGCAAAACCCTGTTAATCAGCCATCAATTAAAATCATGCGTTCTGAATTGGGGAAATACCAATTCTCAAGTGTACCTTGAGGAGTAGTGTTGAAAAACACTGGATTAGATGCTGGCATTTCAACTATTAGAATTCGACCAAAAAACAACATTGATTCAATGACATCTTTTCAACATCAGTTATTTGGCTAGAATTGGATGATTGTCTGATGGTTTATCAACCATCAGTCATCGACCTTAACCCTTGTGTTTACAAATGGGGTCCAACCAACCCCACACACGTAAAACTTGTATCATTTGCCACAGTCCTCGCATGCACAAGGGTTATCCATAAATTCAACTTTTGTGATCATAATTCAACAGTGAAGTAACATCTTTTGCAAACAAACCAACAGCGAAGTGGCTGTGTGTTTGGGACATCCCACTCATGTAAATAGTGGGAGTGGACCACTTCACTCCTTGTAGTAAGTTGTAGATGTTTTTGTGTCAATATATCACACACAGTCAGTGATGTTTTTTATGGACAAGTAAGAAAATGTACAGAAAGGAACCCACTATCCTCCACAGGGATTAATTTAAAACGTGATTATCCCTCGCTCAATAATAAAATGCTGTCATCCAGAGCTCCAATGAGGAGGAGAAGACAGGAAGGGGTGTGGCAAAACAACACACATTGATCAGACATTGGCATTTCATTCATTAGATTTCAACCACAAAACAACATTGATTCAATGACACATTTTCAACATTGGTTACTTGGCTAGAATTGGATGGTTGTTTGATGGTTAATTCACCATCAGTTGTCGACCTCAACCAAAAATCAACCATTCTGACTATAATTCAGTGTTGAATTACCATCATGTGGTACCTGGGTAGGCATGTTTTCAACATGTAGACTTATAGCATTAACTTTTGTCTCTGACAGTTTTAAATACAGAGTAAATATTTGACTGATTTCCCCCCAAAACAAACACAACTATTTCTAGCTATAAAAAGCAACTAGTTTATTTGTAGTTTTATTTTTCCATTAGTGTGCACACAAAAACAAAAACGAACTCTATCCTCACACAGAGAAATATTCCATTCATGAAGTAATGTTCATTGCATTCATGAAATCAGCTCAAATGTTTATGATTGAAACTCCAGCAAAATGTCTCGCCTTCAAAACCGTGAGGAAACAGTAAGAACAGAATTAGAGCCCAATGTAACTTTCACTTCTGTTCATCTTTGCTTCCATTATGGTTTTAAAATTAACACGGTTCTCATTTCCATTGTTGTGTAACACGGTGGTCACTGCTTTTATTCTCTTTATCAAACTCTATATCTGAGAGTAACATTGAGCAGGAGGAAATAAGTGAATGTTTAAATTTAAAACCAACCTAAAATCAGCTGTGATGCCATTCTGGAAGTGAGATTGTGGTTGCAGGAACATGTGGGTCTGGGAGGATCCAGCTGGTGAATAACTACTCAAAATGAAAGATGCCAGTTCTTTAAATATGTTGCAGTTAGTTTTTCCACGTGGTTTCTTGGCTCTCATGGTGTTTTCGTTTTAATTCTCCTGGTTGTTGTTTCCAGGAAACTGATTAACTTTCTTTCGTTTTTCATTATGCTTTACTGTCTTCATTCAGGAAATAGATGAACAGGTTCAGAGCTACACGAATAAATACATCAGGATGGATAAATCTTCCATGTGCAGACTGATTGAGGGGACGTTTCGCTTTTCAAGTGAGCCGGAGGGAGTGGTCAGTCCTAAGGTGTGCATATCTTCATGTTCATGAATTATGAGCGTCATTAAGATTGGATTGCGCTCCCAAGTGCAAAAATACTAAAGCATCAAGTTGTGTGCAGGAATTTTGGGGAACTAGATGATCTTGGACTATTTTAACTTTATCTTTTTCAATATTTCTGCAGGGCTTTTTTTTTGTCTTGTAACTTTTGGTTACAACAGCAAGGCTAAATTTTCCTGTCTTTTTGCAGGAGCTGGAATTTACACTAGCTGAGATACAGTTAATAGGCTTTTTCGAAGTTGTCTTTGACGACCAGCCTCCATTTGAATGGTCTCTAATGAAGAGCACGGATGAGGTCGTTTGGTCTGCTGTCATCAGATCAGGTACCAGTGCTTTTAACTGGAGAAATACACACTTTAACATTGAAAGGAATCTTACAGGACAGTGGTTTATGACTTGTGCTTAGGAGAATGTTTGCACTGAAGAGGCACTGTGTGTGTTTTGTATTGAGCCATCCTGAATTTGACTTATTCTGTTAAATACATTTGTATATTTTTCAGTAGATTTATTTTAAAGACATATTCATGTCATATTCATGCCCCTGTTAAAAATACAGACAGAGCATGTAACTATATTCTCTATTTTTAAGTAACTTAAAAATATGGTGTTGATTGCCAGAACTTCTCTGATACTAGTTTACTTGTTTTATTTTATTTCGAACAGACAAAAGTAAAATCAAGAAAGAAGAAAAAAAATGATAAACGTTCAAACAAATTATCATGCCCAAGTGACATGCAATATTATCTGTTCGAAAAGGAGCAGGTAGAAGATACAAGATCTTAGAAGTTCATACTCATCAACTTCTAATCAATTAAATGTCGACATTTGTGTCTTTAACCAGAAAGACACAAATTATTTCCACCTTACATGATATTTAAATCTCACATTCTCATCTTCAGATGTCCAATTATTTAAACACTTTTTTATATCATCAAAATTCCCATGAAATGGCTATTTGTCCTTTTTCCATTTGTCCATTGTTGCTAAAGCAATTTTCTCAACATACAATTTAAAAAACACAAAGTTACAAAAATACATTTTATCAGGTTCTACTTGTATGCCTTCTTTTTAATCTACATGACATTTTACATCTGACCAATGATTTCATCCCTCTCAAAAATGTCTTAAATTTCTACTTTTTATTCATATTTTATTGAGGCCAAAAGGATTACCAATCATACAGTAAAGTTAAACTGTCCACAGGGATTTTATGCTGGTTTGTAGTTTGATTTTTGTTAGAACATGAACGATGTCAGTCTTTTTCTTTTTTTTTTTTTTTTCTACAGATGACTGGTGGGCTGCATTAAAAGAAAACCAAGGGAAAAGAGCCATATGTATGTTTTTTTTTTTTTTTAGCTTTTAGTTAGACAGATTTTCTATCATATTTTTCAGGTTTTCCAGTGTCACTAACATTGTAATCATTTCTGTCCCACAGGTGAAGGTGAGAGTGTTCTTACAGTGTACATCTTTTGGTCACTTACTGGACAAAAGATGGGTTTAGTTACTAAACAAAACTTTTCTGGTTAATTTGAGTCATTTTTCCAGTTGAAGCGAAAAATGAGACAAAGATCCATCGGGGTCAGGACCTGTCAGAGTTAGATCTCCTGCAGCTCGCCGAGAACTTTGGGTCAGAGTGGAGGCAGGCAGCCATCTACTTAGGTCTACTGAGCAAAGACCTGGATGACATCCTGGAGACGGAGAAAGATGTGACCATGCAGAAGCATAAGATGCTGGTAAAGTGGAAGAACAGAAGGGGGCAAGGAGAAGCTACTGCGTCTGCCCTGTTGGAAAGTTTGAAAAAGATGAAGAACTTGTCCACGAACGTTCGCGACACTCTGCAAGGTACGGGCTAAGGATTTCATCCATTCTTAAGTTTTCTAAAGATTTCAAAGTTATACTTTAAACTTTGGCTACTTTATTATTAGTGTTGAGGCATTTCATCTGTCTACAGCACTGCATTGTGCAAATTCTGCTGAAAAATTCATAATATTCCAGTGGTAAATTACTGTTGCTGTTATACAACCCATCGCTATCTTGACTGGATGAATTATTATGCTTCTATGTTTACAGCTTGCCCAGTGTTGCCCTCCTTCTCTGTCCCCTCTCATTGACTTTAGCCCAATGTTTGATTATTTATCTATCCAATTCATACTTTTGTTGTTTTTCCTCCAAACCAGTGTGCAAAAATATTTAACCAGTTTATACCAGTGTACTAAAAAGAGGCCAAAAGTTACAGGCCTCTTTTCAAAACACTGAAAAGAGGCCTGTAACTTTCGCAGCTCCCAACAGGTACAGAGAAAGTGCAGCATGGAGTAGCATAGCCAAATAATTAAATGTTTTTTTTTTCTTTTCTGTTGTGTCTGCTTTTAGATTTATTGAAAGCAGATGATGAGTCCATGGACGAATAAGCTTCTACATAAAAAATGGATTCAACAAACTGCAGCAAGGATCTCAGGAGTTTGATGAAGTGTCATTGACAGGAGGACCAAACTTCGCCTCTCTTTTGTTTTTATTTTCTACACACCAAACAATAACTTTTGTGTTTACATTTAAAATGTGCCAAAATCCGTATCCCATTACATGTTCATGAAGGTTTCATTTGTGAACAATGGCAGGTCAGTGGCAAGTGAGGTGTGTGAATGTGTGTGTACCATTTTAGGTAAAATCCTGTGGAATATTTAGCAAAACGGCATTAAAACAGATTCATATGCCATCGTTTACTCATCATGTGAGTGACTCAGTGGAAAGATGAATGCAACTGGGTGAATCTGGCTGTGTAAAGTGGTTTGTGTGGTCAGTAACTGAAAAAGTGCTATGTAGAAATTTTATCTACTTACCATTTACGTTCACCATGTTCTTTATATATCGTTTTAGCTGTTACAATTCTTTTTACTTGTGGTGCAATTTTATACGCCTATTAACGGCATGTAAATAAAATAAAAGCAGCTATTTTTTTATTGCGTACCAGACAAGAGTAAATATGTTGTATTTGTAAAATAAACCTGTCTGATGTATTCATTTGGTGACGGTCTAAAAACAACATTCGTCTTAAATGATCTCCAAATCAATGTAGAGTTCTGGAAAAAAAAGTTATTAGTTTTGTGAATCAGCATTGTTGTTTTGCTAATTTAAAAAAATCTTGTGATATGAAGCCTGTACTTATTAGGCACTTATTTTGACTGCCGAAGCACTGGCACTAGAACTGAAAATCTGATGCTAAGTTTGCATGGAGTTTGCTGCATGGCCAGCATAAATAATCACTCTTTACATCATTAAGTGCACCAAACACTAAAACAGGAGAGAATGGCTGCAAAAGACGTATATTAAAACTGTTATTTGTAAGCAAATCGATTTCATAAAGTATTTTCCTGCCCATCCATTGAGCAGTCTGCTATGTAAGCCTGAAGAAGAATCCTGAAATTTTGTCTTTTTCAGGATTAAGATTCATTTGGAAAATGATTATCCTTCAAAGAAAATGAAAAGCTTATAAAAGTCACAGGGAACTGATAATATGAATTGGATTTTTGTTGTTAACTGTACACTACTTGGTAACACTGTTAAGTAAAAAACCAATTGTCAGTTGAGCTGAGCATTTAAAGCATTATTTGAATTGATTAGGAATCTTATTTGAACTAAAGTTGAGAGCTCACTCGAGCAAAGGGGTTTTATGATATTAATGTGATACATTAAAGTTGCAGTAGGTAATTTTTATAAAAATGATTTTTATTAGTATTTATTTTCAAAAACAAAGCCTAGCCGTGTGATCCATCGGAGAAGGAGGATGGAGGTCCCAGGTTCAGGTGCTGTATCAGACTTCCAGAGGAGGAGGTTAATAATTTTTGCTTAATTTCTACTCTTTTTGGCAAAGTCTCGACCCTCCCACAGTTTTCCTGAGACATCAGGAAGAACATGGCAGATGTCACGGTCGGCCAACCGGGTGACCATTAGTTCATCACTTCGCTAAACCACACAAAAAAAAAAGAAAGAAAAAAAAAAAGCTGTTACACCAGCGACCTGCCAGAACCACACACACGGTAAAAAGCCCAGACGGGCTTCACTTGACCCGTCCGAGAACTACGGGAGGGTTAAAACTCTGCTTATTTTTGCTATACCATAGAACCTCCCCACAAAACAAAACACACAATTTCCTTTTTGCTGCAAGAACACACGGCTGTTTTTTTTTTTATCGTTATCTTTACTGTCATTTCAGTTTGATCCATTCAGCCAGTTTTAATATTTGTCACTATAAAAACAGTGAGTTCATGTATTCCTGCTTTCCCACATTGTTTACATTCCTCATTGTTGGTTTGTTGAATATCTTGTCGCCTCATGCTGCCATTGCTCTGTGGTCCAGTATATGTTTTGATTTTCCCCCAAAACTGTGATAGTTTTTGCTGTTTTCATTCTTACTTCCTATTTGTGGTCTGTAGCAAATGATGTGGTCTAGTTTTGTACTCAGAAATGTTTTTTTTTCATGCACTTCTCTGTTCTTGTGGAGCATGAAAAGGCCGAATTTAGCATGTGACTGCCCAATAAAATATGGTTACTTGATGGACTGTATTTAAATTAACAATCTATTTTATCATCTCAACAGCAATATATATATATATATATATATATATAATTAAAATGTTATTCATGACTTGATAAAGTAGACAGTAATATTTCCACCAACACCAGATTTGCTTGGATGCCTTTCCTCCTTAATTAGATAAAATTGTCATTTGCAAACTGCAGTTTGTTTTTACTCAGGTTATCTTTTTCTGACAGTAAACCTGAATCAATTTAAACTTTAAAGGGTGCAAAACCAAAAAAAAAAAAAAAAAAAAAAAAAAAAAAAAAAAAAAAACAAACAAAAAAACTAAAGTAGGAAAATTATTTTTCACGTAGACATAAATATGTTAAAAGGAACCTGAGAAATGTGAGTCCGGAACAAGTATGCCATTCAACAAACATGGGAACTTTATTTGAAATACACATCAGCTTTCTAGATATTTTCATAAAATACTGCTTTACTTTCAGATCAAATAAATTATTAAGTTAATACAAATAAATAATAAATAAATAAATAAAATCGAATACTGGAATACATTCCAAGACTTTAACCAGGCCAATATGACCATTACTACTCTTAGTGACAGACTGGCGGACCCTTGGCTCTTACAAAGAGAAAGAGGGTCCGCACGGATAGCTTATGCCTGAGCAGCTTCGTTTGGCGGTAAGCACCACACGTTCAGTAGCTTGTGACAACAGTGTTACGGGTTTGGCGCAGTAAATCATATGGAAGGAAGATGGGATCGACGCCGATGCTGATGAAGCTTCGGCTCGTCTACTTCCTGTGGTCCCCTGAGGAGATGTAGCCCACGGCTCGGTTGATGGTGATGGCGCGAACGTGGAAGCCTCTCATCATCTTACACATCTTCTGTCGGTTCTTGAAGGAGTCGCTTTCCCACCGACCGGGTGCGTCCTAAATACAAGGAGGGACAGAAGAATGACGATCGTGCTAACAACAGAAATTCCCTTTTGAAATAATTACAAGAAAACACTAATTCCTGTAAGGATTTAGACGAAAAACAAAACTTAACCAAAAAGTAAATACACAGTGGTGTTGAATGGGGAACAAACACAAAAGGACTAGAAAAAAAAAATACCTCAAAAGAGTTGTGCTCTCCTGTTTCCACCAAGGAGCAGTTCTGTGCAAACCAAGAAAAAGATTTTATCATGCAACTTCCATTTTCCAAATTTCCCTACAGATTCCTTCAGCATCACATGTTTGTCGCATGGCTGCATGTCCTGCAGCTCTTACTGACCTTCCTCAGGTCCTGAATGACTCCCAGAGTCGGACCCAGAAGTGTTTTTTCCTTCTCAGGTTTGTGGAGTGGGGACTGGAGGTACGTGTCAATCGCGGTCTGGTAGTAGGCCAAATCCCTCATGATGTTCATCACACACTCATTCTGTCAGGACAAGAATAATAAAAGAAAACAGGACTTGTGGTTTATTTTATTGTGTCCAAAAATCAACCTTTTAGAAGCGACTCGCAGCAACAACGTACCTCACTGAAGGACGAATTGGTCAGCATGGCACAGCTGGAGTTCTGAGGGGAAAGTACAAGTTTCTAACATGAGTTTTTGTTGTTGCTGTTGTGGAGTTTATTTCTGGTCAACACAGACACCACAGTTCAATAAATGAAACTGTAAACAACGCTGAAAACAGCTTCATGTGTCTGTTTTTATTTTAATGCAAGACATTTGGTAGAAACTGATTCCGAAACTTATTTATCCAGTCTCTCAATGCTGAACAGTATTAAGTAACAAAGAATTACTGTATTTCTTTGTTAGTTGTTTCATTATTTGGCCTAATAATAAACACATTGTCATTTCGAATGAAATTGATGCAACTACCTATAAGCTGTTAAAATATTAAATCTTTTTCTCCATAACAAAAAAAAACACACAAAAAACAGTATTTAACACTTAAGTAATTCAGCATGATACAAATATAAAGCAGCTTTGATTTGACTGATAAAAATAGCATCTAAGCACACAACTGTCATGTTGAAGTTCTGTTTCTGTGGCCACAGAAATAGCTGTGGCGAGCCGGATTTGGCCCACGAACCTTCAGTTTGACGCATGTGACACAAATTCTTTCTCAATACCTTATAAGTGTATTTTAAAGTTATTTTTAATGCAATTAGCGAGCTGATTACTGATCATCTAAACAGGACTCCAAAGCGTTTGACTCTACAATGTTCCACACATTCATGCACAAACAGACAGCTGCTCTGGGGACACGACCAGAGCAGCTGCAGGCAAAGACGACAAACAGAAACAACAACGTCTTAATTATTTACCTGAGTCGAAGCGGGAGTGCAGGCCCGCACCGTTTCGCTGCTCCTCATTGGCATCTCACTGGATTTGATCAAGCTGAAACACAAATCTTCCTGCAATACAAAAATGTACATTTATTTTATTTCATTTAAAAAAAAAATCGTGATGGGGATTATAGTTGAATAATAAGTAAAAAAAAAAAAAAAAAAAAAAGTTTACCCACGCTTTTGAGAACATCCGTGACACTCCGCAGAAGGCTCCTGAAGAGACTTGCGCACTGTGCGCTGTTTGCGCTCGGCGGCGGCAGCGGCAGCGGCAGCCCCGTGGATGTGCGCCAGTTGAGCAGCATCAGCATCAGCATCAGCGCGGCGCAGCTGGAAAAGCCTGCAGGAGAATCCCAGACATCAACACCCGCGGTAGCATCACGTTTTGGGCAACCAAACAACCGAAACGGAACAGTAAAAAAATAAATAAATGAATAAAAATTTTAAAATGCGCATTTGATCGCTTGGATGTCACTGACTTACTTAAATGAACGTGTCTCATTTTTTCGGAGCAGACAGAAAGAGAGAGAGACATCTGTGATGGAACTTGGTAAAACAGCAACACTGAGCTGCACGCTTTCATCTCTAGGTTTTATACAAACAAGCGGGGAATTCCCGCACAAGCAAGACGTAATGTAATTTCCACATGATTTCTCCTTGAAGGATTATTACAAGTGGGTGAAAGAAAGACACTTAACGGCCTGAATTCAAAGCGAAGGAGCAGCAACCAATCACCAGGCAGAGACGGGACTTCCAATTAAGAGCTACAGTAAGTCGGTGCTGTAATTATTACGCGATCTGCGGTGCAGAGTGATATTTGGAAATTCTGCCTGTTCGGTCACATCAGCGCTATTAATGGAGCGACAACCAGCGATTAATAATTAATCATGCCAGGAAGACCGCTGTGTGGGGTAGCGAGGGTGAAGTGAATCACATGTGACATCAAACAGCATCATTTCACGACTCAAGAGCCAGCTGGAGGTCAGCGGGCCTGTCGGCGTGGGCCCCTGAAACGACGGAGGGATTGTCATCATTTTCGGCTCATTCTAGGAGGGCGGCGACAGGACTGCTTTCCCCACAAGACTTTCAGAAACAAAAGTCGATGAGCAAACCAAATGCATGTAGATTAAAAAAAAAAAAAGTAGGCAGCTCAGAGGTCACCGTACAAATATATAGTTTGGATCAAAGAACACAACTCGATTTATTTGATAAATAAATAAATGTATTCATATAAATAAAGACGATTGTCTCCACTCAGTCCATTGAGCAGAGACAATCAAAATTTTAAAACAATCTTTGAAAAATAAGCATAAACAAAACTCTATCTATCTATCTATCTATCTATCTATCTATCTATCTATCTATCTATCTATCTATCTATCTAGTCTCATGTTATTTTTCGTGTCTTCAGAAGTTTCTCAAAATGCACAGTAACTTTCTAGTAAGAGAGAAAAAAAATTCTGGTGATCGAACAGAGAATCCCAAACCAACCCACAACACAACTTGCTGCAAAATGAAAATGTTGCATAAACCATCTAAACGTGGAGCAGCTCGTCCAGGAGGGAAACCCAGCCTCGTTCTCCTGACCTCGTTCTGGGGAACTCCAAGGCTTTCCCAGGCTGCAAGACGCCTCTCAAGTGTTGTTCACAAATCTGTGTTAGTGAACACTTTTCCTTCGCAGAGAAAATCCATCCCACCTAGGTGTGGTATATCAAGATGCTGATAAGAGTGGACCGCGTGATTACTGGACAGACGTGCATTAGGTTAGTCACGATAAAAGGAAACTCTGAATTCTGCAGTTTTGCTTTTATTTTGGGTGGTGGGGAGTTTGGGAGGGTAAGAAACCCTGTCAGTATTTGGTGTTTGCACCATTTGCCTCATGCGGTACAACATCTTCGCATATTATCAAGTTGTTGATTGTGGCCTGTGGGATATTGGTCCACTCGTCTCCATTGACTTCGGGATGTTGCCGGATGTTGGCAGGAAGTCTCACACGCCGATCCAGAGCATCCCAAATATGAACTGGGATCAGCTTCCCTGAATGTGTCCAGATCCTGGCAATGAGGGGTTGTACAACATCATGAGGTGAAGGTCAAACCAATGGGGTCTCAGGATTTCATTACAGTATCTTGGTGCATTCAAAATGCCGTCAGAAAAATACACCTGTGTTCGTTGTTGATAACATGTCACTGTCCATCCACCGCCACGGGTCACTCCATTTAGAACATCAACATCACCCACACAACGCCACACACACCGCCTCACAGAACAGTGAGAAGTAGGATCCCTCCGCGTAGAGGACACCTCTCCAATGTGCCAGACACAATCAAACGTGAACATTTCCCCAATCAAATCGCAGTCAAGACTCCAATGAGGATGGGGAAAACTCAAATGAGCTTCCCCAAGACTGTTTCTGACATTTTGTAAAGGGATTGTCTGGTTTTGCAAACCGATTGTCGAAGCCGACGTCCGGGTGGCCGTCCTCAGACGACCTTTCAGGCGATCAGGTGGAGGTGTGACTACACGTGGTCTGTACGTGGCAACTGGGGTCTCCCTCAAAACCTGCAACATCTGTGGCGTGCTCTGTGTGATCAAGCTGCAGATTTCAGAGTGGCCTCATTGTGGCGCTAATCCTGCTGTCCAGTCAGTATCCTGATACGCCACACCTGTGAGGTGCGATGGCTTATCTCGGCGAGGGGGCAAAGCGTTCACTAACTCGGACTTAGGCTGATTTGTGAGCGATCCACACAAACGCACACACACCTCATGCAGTGTTTGAAGGGAAATGCATTTCTTTGAAACTAGTTTTCTGCGTGTGGCTGCAGGAGTTTCCTGCTCTTTGTACACATTGACCACAGCACTGTCAAACGCTGAAACCCACGGTTGCTGTATGAGTTACAGGATGTGTTCAGGTGTACGACCCACCAGGAAGAAGCGGTTTTACCTGAAAAAAAAGGAAAGAAAAAAATGACAAAAATTTTTTATTCATCACAAAACATTCAAGTCATCTAGATTTATCTCAGTATGGTCTGGTGTCTCACCACAAGTGAACTTTATGTTCTACTTATTAAGCTCATCAGTGGTCATTTGGTTGAGAGAAAAATTCCTGATAATGATTTTAAAAGGGGTTGTCCAAATTAATTTGCAGTCACCTTGAGAAGAAGAAGAAGAAGAAAAAAAACAGCTTGCCTCAATAAATGACACAGTGAAGTAAGATGAAAAAAAAAGGCAGCAGCTGAGTCACAGTAAGTAACATCACACTTCTTAGAAAGAGGAAGCTGAACGTTCTGCTCGGCTGACGGGGCGACGAACTGCACAGACCAACACATACAAAACCAAGTTTATTCTTTATTTTACATTTCTGTACATAAACATTTCTTTCCCTCAAATAAAGCATCTGAATACAGCAGGATGAAAATGATATTTAACACACTTATTCATTTGAAATGACTCATGTCAGAAAAATTCAACATTCACAAAATGCTGATAGAGCAATTCAGAGTGAACGTATTACCAGTCTACAACTCCACTACAAAGCAGGCATGTTTCCTTTACACTCTTTTTAGCACCTTCGGACAAACGTTTCTCAGTTGAAAACTACCATTTGTGCAGAATAAAAACGCTTCAACTTTTTGAGTCCAACTTAAAAATGTTCTGAAGAAAATTCGTTTTCAGTTTTCTTGTCATACAGTGTTTTTCCTTTTTTTTTCTTTTTATGACTGACTTTCTACTAAAGTTTGAACTATTATTTGATTTTTTCCACACTTTATTTTTATTATTTTTTTTTTTTTGCATCTGAACAGGTATAATTTAGTGGCAAATGTAGAAAGTCGAAAAGAAACAGTAGCAAAGCAAGGCCGACTACTGCACAGGAAGCTGGGGGACAGAATCTATGATGACACACAGTTTTCCTCTTCTCCCAGGAAGTAGGACGCGCTGCTCCATCCTTCGGCGCCGGGAGAAGCAGTTAAAAGACAGTGTTTTTTTTTCTTTTCTTCTTTTTTTTCTTCTTCTGTGCTGTTGCTACCAGTGAAGTCAGTGAGTTGGTAGAAGGGTAGACGGCAGGGAAGTGTGGCGGGGGAGGAAGGAGCGAAAATACTTGGGGCAGGCGGGGAGGTTTTGGATAGACACAGGGTGCAGAGGAAGTGATCCAGGGAGGAAAGGTTTCATCTCGGCAGAAGGGAAACAGACGGGAGCGGGGACAGTGGAAGGACGGGCGTCTTATTTGGATAGGGTTCTCTCAGCCAAATGTTTCTGCTGGCTCTCGGCATGCCTGGGAAGAAGGAAGCAGAAGTAAAAGATTTTTAGGAAAATGTACTTTTATTTATTTATTTTTTGTTGTTGTTGAAAAACATAAAAAATAGCAAAAGATACAACAAGCTGAACTTTTATAAATGAATGAACAAAATAATGGACTATTTATCTTATACATTTAGACACTGTCACTAAACACAGTGCGACATCGGGATACAACTCCATAAAAATAACAGAAAACAAAAACTAATGCATAAAAATAAAATTCATGTTCTCAAAGGATTGCTGAAAAAATGGTAATAAACAAATTTAGCTTGACGTCAGAGCGACACTGTGCTAAAAATGTATGTATGTCACTTGCTATGTAAGTATTTATTTCTTTAAACTAATCCAAACTTACAAACTTTTATCAGTCGACTGCTCCAAATATGGATAAGGACCAAAATTAATGGAAAAGATAATAACAATAACATCAAACCACAATTAGAAAAGTAGATGAGTGAAGAAGGTTTAGACAAAATAACGAAGGGCTGAATTTATGCCTTCAGTTAACATCTGTTGAAATTTAGCTCAGTTAGATGAACTAAAACCGAACTAAAAGATGAATTAGAGAAAAGTGCAGAGAAAAGTGATGGGGAAATCAATATCCTGAAGGTGAAATGCGGGCCGAAACCAACCACCTAAAAAATGGTCCGACAGGAAGGAAACGACCTTGGATTGGATGATGAAAAACATTTTGTTTCAATTCAGTTTCGTGTTTAAAAGTAACCTCTGTCTAAAGTCGTCAGTTTCTTAAGATAATGTGAGACTTTTATGAAAATGAAAGCAACAAAAATATGACCAAAGCATTAAACTGGTCAATGTTCTCGATTGAGATATTGTTTGATGACATAAAAAAAAAACAAAACAAAAAAAAAAACAAATGTGGAAAGATTGAAAAAAGTTTTTTTCTTTTTACTGGTTTGTGTTTTCCATGACAGGATACCAACCGAGATGAGAACACTGGTGAGATCAGATGCAAAAGTTTTTAATCTGAAACCAGACCTAACTGGATCAATCACGACCTTCACCAACAGATGTGGACGTTTAATCTGCTTTAACTGGGAAACATCTTTGTCATAAAATAATAATAAAAAAAAACAAAACCACAGAATGTGGGAACTGGATTTTGCTTTGATGAAATATAATCCTGCTCCACTGGAAAAGATGACAGCGTACATTCAGGGGAACTCCACAGACTTAACAAGTCAGAGTTAATTAAGTTATCAAGTGGGAAATATTGTAATAAGCCTGTAAATATTATATAACAGTTTTTTTCTTTTTAACCAATGATGACGAATCGATCAAGAAAATTACTGCACAAACTGGCAATGAGTCATTTGTTTTAATTGCGCCCCAGGAGGGATTTTGACCTGTTTAAGGTCACTCCGCCGCATCTCAACTCTCTAAGGTTCTGACTTTGAATAGGCCACGTCAAAACCTTAATTAGTTTTGTATTTTTGAAAGCCATTCAGATGCGATTCTACTGATGAGCTTTTGATTTTTATCCTGCTGCATAACCCAGGTACGGCTGAGCTCCAGGTTTCAAACTGATACCTGGACATCCACTTAAGTGACTCCTTAATTTAAAAGGCCAGACAGTAATCAGACATGTATGTGAGTGGCAAAACTTATAGAAAAAAGTGGATTTTTACAGTTTATCAGTAAAAAGTCCCATTTAATGTGTCGTCACCTGGTGAGGTCCTCAATGTCAACCAGCATGGCGTCCTGCTCCATGTGTAGCTCATCCCGAATCAGTAGCAACTGTACAAGCTCCTCATTCAGACCTGCAGTGATATGCATGGAGACACACACATTCGTCAAAAGCAGTAGTTTGAAGTGTATGACTTAGAAATAGTCACAAATCCTCTTAAGTAGTAATAAATGTGGATGTAATGGTGATACAGGACAGCAGCAATGGACTAGAAAGTTACATTAAACATTTTTTAAGAGGTAAATTTATTCACTCATTATTTTATAATTACACATAAGTTTATCAACTTAAATTGGAGAATTTTTTAGCTTAGGTTTCCTAATGTTAAAGCTTTTCTGCAGTAGCTTCATAACATGTTAAATACATTTCTATAAAGACAAATCTGTCGAGGGTGAATTAAGGCCGATACGGGAGGAGAACAGTTTTGTACATAGTCTCAGTTTCCAAGGATACTTTTCCTTCGACGACACACCTGTTTGCCTCCGTGCTTGATGGGGTTTCTTCTAGTTTTGCTATAGTACAACAACATTCACATTTCTGAGAAAGAATAACTAATCATTGACTAAAAAGATGACGCTAGCAAAGTTTTCAAAGCAATGAAAAAAACAAACAAAAAACCCAGTGAATATACCAGAAGTAGCTAAATGTCAGTTAGGTCCCAGAATGGTACATATGGATGTACATAGCAATACTTTAAGACCTGAAATGTATTTTTATGGTATTTTTTAATTACTTTTAAGAGTCTGCAGGAACCCTGGGACATTTACCTTACTTTGAGGAATGTTTTTAAAAACAAAAACAGCTCGTCTAAAGCTGACACATCAGCGGCATGCGCTCCTCGTTGCATCACATGTCTTGGCTGCTTTCCCCAGAAAAAAAAAAAAACAATAAAAGGTTGAAGAGGTCTAAAAAGGGGAAAGTTGCTTTTGTAGAACTTTTTTTTTTGTGTGATTTGGGACTTGTGGGGATTTTTGAAAGGGTTTAACGTTAAAATGCGAGATTATTCATCTATGGATACCAGGATCAATGAGGTATACAGAGCGGTAACAGAAAGCGCTCAGGGGAAGCTGCTGACTGGTACTGTACAGCTCCGAAGTGACTAATATATAGTGGAGTACTTTCATATCTATCGAGGAGGGGCCAGGGGTCACTGTGCTGGTATTTCCCCCATTTGTCTTCTTGCTCATTTCTGCCAGTGAAAGCAGAGGTCAGTGTGTGTGTTCACTCACTTTCAATCTGGGAATGCAGGTCGTTGACTATAACCTGAAGCTGCCCCAGTGTCATGTCTCTCAAGTCGGTGGGTTTCAGACTTCTTTTCATTAGACACTCGCTGATATGAGGCATGTGTGGAAGCTGATGGAAGGAAAGAAAAAAAAAACATTAATTAGGTTTTTTGGTTTCTCTCGAAACAATATTTTGTTTAAACCAGCTTAATTATTGTAAATATAAAGTTAATGAAATGAAAAAC